GTCCCCGGCCCTGGTCGGTCGTGCGGGTGGCAGCCACTCGATGTGTTCCTTTCGCATCAATGTTTCTCTCTCTCCCTCTGTTCCTCTCTCTCCCTCCCACTCTACCTGAACAAAAAATGGAAAAATGTCCTCCGGTGAGGATTAATAAAAAAAAAAGAAAGAAAAGAAAACTACAGGTCATTGAAAAAAGAAATAGAGGAAGATATAAAAGAGTGGAAGCACATACCCTGGATTAGAAGAATTAACATCATTAAAATGTCCATACTACCCAAAGCAATCTATAGATTCAATGCAATCCCCATCAAAATACCAACGACATATTTCATAGAACTAGAAAAAATACTTCAAAAGTTCATATAGAACCAAAAAAGACCCCGAATAGCCACAGCAATTTTGAAAAAGAAGGACAAAATAGGTGGGATCACAATACCAGATATCAGGTTATACTAGAAAGCAACTGTAACCAAAACAGCCTGGCAATGGCACAAGAACAGGCATATAGACCAGTGGAACAGAACTGAAAACCCAGAAATGGACCCAAGGCAATACGCTCAATTAATATTTGACAAAGGTGGCAAGAGCATACAGTGGAGTAAAGACAGCCTCTTTAATAAATGGTGTTAGGAAAATTGGACAGCTACACACAAAAGAATGAAACTAGACCATCAACTTACACCCTACAAAAAATAAACTCAAAATGGATCAAAGACTTAAATGTGACTCATGAATCCATAAAAATGCTAGAAGAAAATGAAGGCAACAAAATTTCGGACATCATACGGAGCAGAATTTTCACTGATACATCACCTAAGGCAACAGAAACAAAGGACAAAATGAACACATGGGACTACATCAAACTAAAAAGCTTCTGCACAGCAAATGAAACAATCATCAAAATGGAAAGGCAACCCACTGTATAGGAAAACATCTTTGCCAATGATGTATCAGATAAGGGGTTAATTTCCAATATATATAGAGTGCTCATACAACTCAACAAAAGGAAGACAAAGAAACCAATTAAAAAATGGGCAGAGGAGCTGAATAGACACCTCTCCAAACTGGACATACAAATGGCCAAGAGACATATGAAGAAATGCTCAACATCACTAATCATCAGAGAGATGCAAATTAAAACAACAATGAGGTATCACCTCACACCTGTCAGAATGGCCGCCATCAACAAATCATCAAACAACAAGTGTTGGCGAGGGTGTGGAGAAAAGGGGACTCTAATACACTGCTGGTGGGAATGAAGATTGGTGCAGCCACTATGGAAAACAATATGGTGTTACCTCAAAAAATTAAAAATTGAACTTCCATTTGACCCAGTGATCCCACTTCTAGGAATATACCCTAAGAAGCCTGAAACACCAATCAGGAAGAATATATGTACCCCCATGTTCATAGCAGCACTGTTTACAATAGCTAAGATCTGGAAACAACCCAAGTGTCCATCAGTAGACGAATGGATAAAAAAGCTGTGGTACATATACACAATGGAGTACTATGCAGCAGTAAGAAAGAAAGATCTCTTATCCTTTGAGATGACATGGAGGGACCTGGAATGTATTATCCTAAGTGAAATAAGCCAAGCAGAAAAAGACAAATACCACATGATCTCACTTATATACGGAATATAATGAACATAACAGTCTGAGGAAAACAGTAGACCCAGAAACATGGAAGTAGGGCACAGACTGACATCCCTCAGAAGTGGGGGTGGGGAGGTGGGAAGAGATAAACTACAGAACTTATATGCATGTATGCATGAACAATGGACATGGACAACTAAGCCAGGGCCAGGACGGAGGCGGGGTGGGGTGGGGGTTACCAATGGGGTAAAAAGATAAAATATCTGTAACAAAAAAATAACTTAAAAAATTCATTAAAAAAATAAAAATAAAAAAATAAAAAGATCGTTAACAACTACTATGAACAATTATACGGCAACAAATTCGAAAATCTAAACGAAATGGACAATTTTCTAGAAACACATAGTCTCCCAAAACTGGATCAGGAAGAGATTGAAAACTTGAACAGAACAATAACAACAGAAGAAATTGAAGATGTAATCAAGACTCTCCAGCAAACAAAAGCCCAGGCCCGGATGGCTTCACGGGGGAGTTTTACCGAACATTCAAAGAAGAACTAATACCCATTCTCCTCAAACTATTTCAAAAAATTCAAGAAGAAGGAAGACTTCCAAACTCGTTTTATGAAGCCAGCATAATTCTAATTCCAAAACCAGAAAAAGACACTACAAAGAAAGAAAACTACAGGCCAATATCCCTGATGAACATAGATGCCAAAATCCTGAACAAAATACTAGCAAATCAAATCCAGCAATACACCAGAAAAATTATCCACCATGACCAAGTGGGATTCATCCCAGGGATGCAAGGCTGGTACAATATTCACAAATCCATAAATGTGATACACCACATAAATAAAATGAAGAATAAAACCACATGATAATATCAATAGATGCTGAAAAAGCCTTCGACAAAATCCATCATCCATTTCTGATAAAAACGCTCAGCAGTGTGGGAATAGAGGGATCATATCTCGACATAATAAAGGCCATATATGAAAGACCTACAGCCAACATCATACTCAATGGGCAAAAACTAAAAGCATTTCCCTTAAGAACAGGAACAAGGCAAGGATGCCCACTTTCGCCACTTCTATTTAACATAGTACTGGAAGTCTTAGCCACAGCAATCAGACAGGAAGAAAAAATAAAAGGGATCCAAATTGGAAAGGAGGAAGTGAAATTGTCATTATTTGCAGATGACATGATACTGTACATAGAAAACCCCAAAGACTCCACCAAAAGTTTACTAGACTAAATAAATGAATTTGGCAAAGTAGCAGGATACAAAGTTAACGTCAAGAAATCAATGGCATTCTTATACACCAATGATGAACTCACAGAAAGAGAAACTAAGCAAACAATCCCATTTACCATTGCGGCAAAAAAAATTAAGATACCTAGGAATAAACTTAACCAAAGAAATAAAGGACGTATTCGCAGAAAACTACAGGTCTTTGAAAAGAGAAATAGAGCAAGATATAAAAAAGAGGAAGCACATACCCTGTTCATGGATTGGGAGAATTAACATCATTAAAATGTCCATATTACCCAAAGCAATATATAGATTCAACGCAATCCCCATCAAAATATCAACGGCATACTTCACAGAATTAGAACAATTACTTCAAAAGTTCATATGGAACCAAAAAAGGCCTCGAATAGCCACAGCAATCTTGAAAAGAAAGAACAAAGTTGGAGGGATCACAATACCAGATTTCAGGTTATACTACAAAGCCACTGTAATTAAAACAGCCGGGTACTGGCACAAGAACAGACATATAGACCAGTGGAACAGAACTGAGAACCCAGAAATAGACCCAAGGCAATATGCTCAATTAATATTTGACAAAGGGTGCAAGAGCATACAGTGGAGTAAGGACACCCTCTTTAATAAATGGTATTGGGAAAACTGGACAGCTACATGCAAAAAAAAAAAAAAAATGAAACTAGACCATCAACTTAAACCATACACAACAACTGAAAATGGATAAAAGACTTAAATGTGACTCATGAATCCATAAAAATTCTAGAAGAAACTGTAGGCAACAAAATTTCAGACATCATGCACAGCAGAATTTTCATTGATACATCACCTAAGTCAACAGAAACAAAGGAGAAAATGAACACATGGGACTACATCAAACTCAAAAGCCTCTGCACAGCAAAAGATACAATCATCAAAATGGAAAGGGAACCCACTGTATGGGAAAACATCATTGCCAATGATATATCAGATCAGGGGTTAATTTCCAATATATAGAGAGTGCTCATATAACTCAACAAAAAAAAGACAAAGAACCCAATTATAAAATGGGCAGAGGAACTAAATAGACACCTCTCCAAACAGGACATACAAATAGTCAAGAGACATATGAAGAAGTGCTCAGCATCACTAATCATCAGAGAGATGCTAATTAAAACAACAGTGAGGTATCACCTCACACCTGTCAGAATGGCCGCCATCAACAAATCTTCAAACAACTGTTGGTGAGGGTGTGGAGGAAAGGAGACTCTAGTGCACTGCTGGTGGGAATGCAGACTGGTTCAGCCACTATGGAAAACAATATGGTGTTACCTCAAAATGTTAAAAATTGAACTTCCATTTGACCCAGTGATCCCACTTCTAGGAATATACCCTAAGAAGCCTGAAACACCAATCAGAAAGAATATATGTACCCCCATGTTCGTAGCAGCACTATTTACAATATCTAAGATCTGGAAACAGCCCAAGTGTCCATCAGTAGACGAATGGATAAAAAAGCTGTGGTACATATACACAATGGAGTACTATGCAGCAGTAAGAAAGAAAGATCTCTTATCCTTTGAGAGGATATGGAGGGACCTGGAAATTGTCATCCTAAGCAAAACAAGCCAAACAGAGAAAGACAAGTATCATATGATCTCACGTATTTGTGGAATATAATGATCATAACAGTCTGATGAATGGGGTAGTCCCAGAGACATGGAAGTGGGGTACAGTCTGACAAACCCCAGATCAGGGGATGGTGGTTGAGAGATAAACCATAGAACTTATATGCATATACGCATGAACAAAGGTCATGGACAAAAAAGCTGGGTACAGGGTGAGGAATGAGGGGGAGGGGGGAATCAGTGGGGGGGGAAACATCTGTAACAAAAATTAATTTTTTTAAAAAAAGGATGTTCTGCTTTGTCTTCTAAAGTACTTCTATGCAGCCAGCAAAGTCCTGGTAAGAATGCATTCACTCTCACCACACTGGTTTTGCTGAACTGTCTGTGAATACAGATTATTTATTTAGCAATTGTCGATATTGTTCTCTCAAGAAACCTACAGTTCTTCTGTGATGCTTAGAAGTACCAAATAGAAGGAGGAGGAGAGTGAGCAGTGACACAGTGAAAAGTGGCAAGGAGAGAGAAAACCACGATAATGCAGTTTGGGGCCATTCAGATCAAGGGCAGCCCCTACTCCACATCTGGAGACACTCCCTGTTCTAGCACAATTGCTGGCGTCTTTGTGATCCAGCTCAATCTGTGCAGCAAGTGTTTATGGAACCCTGACCAGACCCTGAGCGGGGAACACAGTATTGAACAAGGTGTGGTTCCTGCCCTCACAAATGAGGAGGCAGAATAGACACAAATACCTCACACAATTTCTATCATCTTGAAATGTGAAATATCTGATGGGGCCCCACATGAAGGAGTTATTCTTTCAACTGAGGGAAGACAAGGTCAGCAAAGCCACTGATGCAGTGGGGATATGGATGTTAGAGGTGGCTAGAACCCAGGGGTTGGGGTGGAGAGTGGAATAGAACCTAAAGAGGTAGGCAGGGACCAGATCAGAAAGGACCTTGACTAGTCTCTCCAGAATAGACTTAACCCTGTAGCAAACTTGGAAACTACTGAAGAGCTTAAGCAAGGATGTGGCATGACTTAGGGAAGCTCCAAGGATGCAACGTGGAAGGATGTTCTTTCTCTAAAACTGAGTCAAGAAGAGGCTATATTGAGGCCAGTCTGTGTCCTGCTTTAGTGGGTGGGATGCCTACAGCATACTATGTGATGGTGAAAATAAACAAGGCAATATTCCAAACATGCCGAGAAACAGCTTCTTCCTCCCAAGGCCGAATTCACAAGGTTCCCCTGACCACCAGCCTGCCCTGCCCGCCCTGCAATCTCCCCCAAAATTCCCACCTCCACCCCACCCCTTCCCCATGCACAGGCTAAGCTGCTCCAGGCTAGGGTGTATATTGTTTACACATCATTCTGCTTTCAGGTGACACAGTTGATGTACTTCTCAAGGACAAGTTCCCTTAGCAGCATTTCAAGTCCATTTTGGTCAGCTCAAACAAATAGCAGAGAACCTCCTAATGGAGGAAAAAGAGGGGCCCCCATCTCTGTCTGCCTGTCCAGGTCACTACGCTGTCTCACACAGCTTTCCTAGGTCCCCAAGCTGCTGTGCTTGTTTGAGAGGAGCAGATGCAGGAGGCAGCAAAGCACCTCTACAGCTGTTGAGTAGGGTTCTGTGATTCCCTGTTTTGTGGGTGTACATGTGTGACAAGGAACTGTTCCTGAGTTCCCAAGAGTCACCAGCAACTCTGTTGGAACCAGGACAGAAAGGAGAAGCAGAGTTAAGAATCCCTTCACGCTGTGCCAACCTCTCTGGAGGAGGGGACCACAGGCTACAGACCTGAATGGGACATCCAGGCCCTCATGCTGGATGGGGGTTCTGAAAGGACAAGTGATTTGCCCCAGGATGCACACGAGGTAAATGGTGAAACAGGGAATTAACCCAGCTTCTTCCTGGCTCCAAACCCAGAGCTCCCCACTCAGTGCAGAGTGAACATTTTGTGCTTCCTGGAGACCTCATGCAGTCCCCTGTGTCCCCTCTTTATCCCCTCACTGGCCAATGCCTCACAAGGGCACTGGATACCTACTATGTGCTAGGCCAGCCTCTCCTGAACTGCCACACTTCCCTGTAACCATACTATGAATGGATGGTGGATTTTGCCTGACACGCATTCAGATTTTCTATAAATGTCTTTTGCACCACTTGGTTTATTCATATGCCATCTTCTTCCAACAAGAATCAAAGCTACTTAAAAACACACACACATATTGTAATGTTTTCTCTAACAAGTGAGCAACTAGAGGCAAAGAAAACATACACACATTTCACTTTTTTTTAAGTAAGTGGGAGAATTGGGACAACAGAAAAAATAAGGATAGGAAATAAAAGAAACAATTCAGGATGACAATGAAAGACAATTCCTGCACCTTCCAGAGGAGGAGCCCAGAACTGACTTTAAGTAACGGCACCCTAAAGAGAAGGGCCCTCTGTTGAGAGATTCACAGCATTCGAGAGAGATTTAAAAATAAATAAAAAAGATAAAATTGTTGTTCAGAAGAAGTAAAACTACTTTTGTCACTGAGCCTGGAAAGAAAGTTCTACCACAGGCTGAATAAATATTAGTGCCTTTCCCTTTTGCCCTGTCTGCCTGGAATCTCTCTTTCTCCTCCATCTTCAAGCTGGGGGCCTGCCTCTCCTGCCCTGGCTGGGCAGGTATATAAAGATGGGGTACTCTTTTTCCTTTTTGAAAACTTTTCATCAGCCCTGGTTGGTTTTGGTCAGCAGTTAGATCATCGACCTGCGGACCAAAGAGTAGCAGGTTCAATTCCAGTCAAGGGCATATACCTCGGTTGCAGTTCATACCGGGGCCCCGGTTGGGATCGTGTGGAGTCATGCGGGAGGCAACCAGTCAATGTGACATCGATGTTCCTTTCTCACCCAAAACTACACCCTGCTTATGCATATATGCACTAGCTGCCTTGTTTGTGCTATGTAATCCCACCCCTTTGGTCACAGTTAATTGGACCAGACCAAAAAATCTAACACAGCTCAGCCAATCAGATTCTCTCTTGGGAATTTAGACTTATGGCTGAAAGATGGTTAATTACATCTGCTTATGGCTAGAACTGAACTCACTCTCAAGTTGCAATGTGGATGTTTTTAATCGAATAATGGAGAAAGAAGGTCTGTGGGGTGAGAAAAACTAGAAGATGAAGCAGAGAGATACAGAGACAAGAAACAGAGCCCTCCCTGAGTTCCCATCTGCTTCTCTGTTTCCCACTTCAGGACCTCAAAAAGACTAGACTTGGGTTTTAGTAAACTCTTTGTTTTTGCTTAAAATGGTTCAAGTTAATTCATTAATTGCATTATTTGTTACAAAAAAAATCTAAAGAAAGATAGGTAAATATTATTTTTCTCCTTCTATATATGAAGAAATTGAAGCTCCAAAGAAGTTGAGTGACTTTCCCCAGGTCACAATTCAGAAAGTGGTAGAACAAAGACTCTACCCCAAGTCTACCAACTCTGCAACTTAAGCTATTTCCCCTTCCACATGCTGGTGTTTCTTGGTCCAGATCAGTGGGACCCCCAGATCAATCTATAACCCCTGCTGCAAGTTTTTTGAAGGCTGGGGCCACATGTGATTCACTGTAACAGTTCCACCTGAGCTGAACACTATCAGGTATCACTGGAAAATCACCAGGATGGAGGTTTCACAAAGACAGACTGTACATCATGGTGTAACTAATGGGAAGTTAATGAGTTCCATGGATGCAAATTTGAAGGCAGAAAAGTGGGGTATGGAATCAAGATACTTCCTAGTGACCTGTACAGACAAGCAGTGAGTATTGACACAAGTCCACATCTGCCCTAAAGCTGGAAAGAGACCACCACAAGATTAAAGACCTTGGTGCCTTCCTCATGCCACAACCCTCAGCCTGGCTGCCTTGACTTCAGCCTTAGAAGAGTAAGTGGAATAAGAATTGGGTTTGGGTTTAGGCCAAATGGGGGGACCAAGGCCAACCCCAATGCATCACTGAGGAAGTCCTCATTCTACAGAGACTAGACCATTTGATCCCCTTTGCACAAACATACCCACACTATCTTCCACAAGGCAGCCAGAGAGATCTTTCCTAAACACTCATCTTACCATCTCACCCTCTATTTAAAGCCCTTACATAGCCCCCATGGCCCTGCTATTCAAGGCCTCAGTCTGTCATCCAAGGCCTTTATGACCTGCTGTGATATAATGAGAAATATATTTGGTCTTTGTCCCAGGTTCCTGGCACAGAGCAAACTAAAACCCACGTAATTTTCTGAGTGTGTAGGGTGATGGAGTATCTTTTTTGTTAATAATATTTAGTTTTTATACAGAGCTCCTAAGATTCCAGAAATGTCCTAAGTGATAGGAGTGTCTTTTGTTATTCATACCAAGCCTTTTTGATCACACCTGGGTTTATGCTAATAAGGTGACTTAAGATTGGGCCTCTACACAGCCTCAGGTTGGTTAGAGTTGCCAGAAAATCCAAGTTTTTACAGGGTTGGAATTTACAGTCCCACCCACAGACTTCAGGAAGCGGATGGAGGGGTGTGGGGGGTGGATATTGAGCTATATAAAAACTCTATTTGCTTCCTGGTAGGTGAACACATGGAGGTGCAGGGAGGGTAGCATGCCCAGAGAGGTCACTGAAACTCCACACCTCTGTACCTTGCCCTCTTCATCTTTCCCATCTGGCTCTTCCTGAGTTGTAGTCTTTGTAATAAAGTGGGAAACATAAGTAAAGCGTTTCCTTGAGTTCTGTGAGCCATTCCAGCAAATTATTGAACACAAGTTGGGGATCATAAGAACCCTTTATTTGTAACCAGAAGGGTAGCTTTGCAACAGGTATCTAAAGGGGGGGGGGCAGTCTTATGGTACTAAACCTTTAAGCTATGGAATGTATGCTAACTCTGGATACTTAGTATCAGAACTGAACCGAGTTGCTGGACAACCACTTGGTGTCCAGAGGGTTGAAAATTGCTAGTTGGTGTTGAAAACACTCCAGAGCTGCCATTCCAGTCTTCTCTCCTAACACACTCATTCACTCTCAGCTTAACTCCCAATATTCCAAATTACCTGTATCCCTGGAATCCCAACACCTATACCGTATACAAGTTATCCTCTCTCCAGGAACATCACCCAATCTCATCCAGCTGATAAAATATTTTAATATTTTTATTTTTATTTATTGATTTTAGAGGGAAATAGAAAGGGGAAGGGGGCGAGAGAGGGAAGGAGCAAGAGAGGAAGAGAGAGAGAGACAGAGAGAGATCAGTTTGTTGTTCTACTTATCCATGCATTCATTGGTTGGCTCTTGTATATGCCCTGACAAGAGATCAAACCTGCAACCTTGGCCTATCTGGATGATGTTCTAACCAACTGAGCTACCCAGCCAGGACTCAGCTGGTGAAATCTTAATTAAACTTTAAGCTCAATTCAAGGAGCACAACCTCAAAGCCACCTTTTCTAACCTTTCTTTGTACATGTCTGGCAAAGAAAATATATTGTTCTGTGACCATTGGTTTATATGTGCCTCTCCTAAGAGATCGTGGGTTCCTCAAGAGCAGGGATCTGGTTTTCCACATCATTGTTTTTTTCACCAGTATACAGCAGTGTGCTGGGTGTGTAGCAGGCATCAATGTGTACATATGGGTAGATGGGTGGTAGGCAGTTATACAGACATGAGTAGAGCAAGGACCATGGGCCTAGTG